TTCGTAGAAGTTCGGCGCAGTTCGGACCTCGTCCGCCCAAGTACTTTCTGAGATTGAAGTTGTTTTCTTCGAATATTTCCGTTGCAGAGGAGAAGGAGGAGCGTTCCTCCTCCTCTTCCTGCTTCTCCTCTTCTACAAGGCTTCAGAGATACTTCCTACGTCTCACGTTTTTCAGCTCGGGTTGGAACCGAATCCGCCGGGATTGGTTGCTATTAGCCAGGGTTGCTTTGATTTCGCCGAAATTGGTGCCAATTCCAGTTTTGGACCCCCCCCTCACCCCTCGTTTTTTGGGGGGGTGGGGGGACCGCCCCCCCCCCAAACCCCTTTCAGCAGCGGAGAACAGCGCTGTTCCCTACATCCCTGATCCTAATTTGCCTGTTGCACCTTGTCCGGACCTCCGTCATCGTCGCCGTCGCCGTCGCTGTTCCCTTAGATTTTTCTCGGCTGGAGCACACTTACTTGTGTTATTGGAGGACCCCACACTGCATTGGTCACCATTCCTGCGGGCCTATCCGCAACCACTCTATGTCCTACTGCCAGCTGCGAATGCTGGCCCTGCTGCGCTTGGCCACTATCGGTTCTAGCGTGACCCTCACCCTGACGGAGCACCTCGGGCTACCAGTTGTTAAGCGTCCTGAGTGGCAGCAGAACGTCTCACATGTGCTCGAAGTCGATGGCGTAGAGCACCCCGAAACCAAAACGGCCATAGTCACGTTTGCGGGCAAGAGGGATTTGTCGTACATCGACGGTGCAGTCATGCTCGGATTGTCTATCCAGAAGTACGTGCCTGGTTACCCCATGGTTGCCCTGGTTATCCAGGACATGAAGCTGGCTTACCAGCATCTCCTCGAAAATGCTGGCTGGACATTGGTTATCGTGCCGAATTGGGACTATGAGTATTGCGGAGTGGACTGCGACACAACATTCTTGGGACGTTGGCACGACAGCTTTGAGAAGATAAATACATTCCGACTGCCTTTCCGTCGCGTGCTTTTCTTGGATTCTGACACGTACGTTTTCAGCAGTAGGCTTACGGAGATGATCACAGCAGAGTTGCCCGATGGCCACATCGCAATGGCCAAGGATGGTTGTAAAAGCGAGTACAATAGCGGGGTGATGTTTTACCAGCCAGACCTTGAGGTGTTCAAGGATATGTTGGTCATGGTCTCCATCCCCCACCCTTCAAATCGACACGGAGACCGAGACATCTCTTGTGGCATAGTCGGAACATGATTTCGTGTTGGTTCCAGTCGTAGCGAGGGCCCTTCAGGAGGCCAAAAACGTCGAGCAAGCATCACAATTCTCACCCTCCTCCTTATCCTCCTCCTCCTCAAGGTCTCCAATCGTAAGCGGGAGAAGATCCTCGACCAGGAACTGATCAATTCGGCCTATGAGAATAAGGTGGTCGAGTTCCCCCGCGAGTTCAATTGCGTTGACACCATGGGCGTCCAGCCCGGTCAGTTCCCTAGTCTTTGTCGTCATCTTCTTAGTTGCCGTGCAACCGAGATTTCGGGACAAGGACCCATTCGGTCTCTGGAGGGTCTCGGGGTTCCTTACGTCCTTCCTGAAGTGTCCCCATGTGCGCTTCGTGGATCTTGTCGCAGCCATGACCAGCGAAAAGGGAGCTTTCTCCCCTAACCAAAGATTCCTCTGGCAATTTCTTGTTGCAGGCGTAGCGTAGCGATCTTCGTCGTCGTGGCTAGCGCAGTCAGGTCAGAAGAAGGCCTGCGACTTCCACTGCAGCGCCAGCGTCGTCGTCGCCCATTTCACGGGGCACCCGAAGCCCACCTCCGCGAAGCGGAGGCCATGGGGCCCCATCCCCCATTACAGCGATGCATTATAGGTAGGAGACGGACGGCCTTCACACCTCGAAGCACTCGCGTTCAAGTCATCTGTACCGGAATGTTATCCGCCTCCTGCCTGTATTAGTAGGAGTGCTGGGGAATTGGGCCATGGAGGCTGCTCGAACTCATCCGCCGACCCGGATCGCCTGAGATCGCGTGCACGAATACGAACTTCGGGTCGTGCGCGAAGTGGTCCAAGTATTATTGCGACATCCGCGAGAACCGTGAAAACGTGTCGCGGGACTTCAGGGGGTGGCGAGAGAGTCGGAGTGAGAGAGTGAAGGGAGGATGAGGAGGAGGAGGAGGAGGGGCAGATCATGCAGGGAGCAGGTCGGAGGCAGGGAAGCGAGAGCCTGGGAGGACCTGCAGCACGCGCTCAAGAAGACCGGGCTCTGCTGCCACGGGGAGACGGGCCACAAGGAGTCCTGCAGGGAGTGCCCCGCCCTTCTGACGGTCTCGGGCTCCAGGAGCCTCGGGAACCCCTCACAGGACATCGACGGAACGTACGTGAAGACGAACATCCGGCCGGTCCAGTTCAACGGTGGCAAGCCCATCTATGCCATACCGAAGAGGGTGAAGGAGGGCAGGCCAATGTACCTGTACTACTCCCAGAAGAACGTGATGTGGTTCATCGGCCGCAGGTACGACTCCAACATGTTCACGGATTTCGTTGCCTACGCCGGCAAGGAGGCGCAGTGCCCAAGGGACGCGGGGGCGTGGCAGTTCCAGCTCAATGGCCAGATGAGGCCCCATGCCATCGCTACCCGTGCTGCGCCCAAGCCTCCCGACGCTCCTAGCGACACGGACCGCATCGTGTGGAACATCGAGACTCACGAGTGGGAGCGCGAGGAGGCGGCACAGACGGGGCAGAGTTCCTTCGAAGAAGACGAGGACTCCTCCAATGCCAAGGACGAGGACAAGGAGGCTGCCGAAGAGGCGGAGAAAAAGAGGACTCGCCTCGTAGCGGAGGCGGCCCAGGCGAACCGATTCGAGGAGGAGAGAAAGAGTAAGGAGGAGGAGCGCAAGACTGCCGAGGATGCAGAGAACACTCGCCTCACAGAGGAGGCGGCTGCGGCGAACCGACTCGGGGATGAGAGGGTGACGTATGAGGCGGTTGAGCGCAAGGCTGCCGAGGCGGCCGAGAAGAAGCGCCTCGCAGATCAGGCGGCCGAGGCAGTTGAGTGGCTCGATGCGGCGAGAAAGCAGAAACAGGAGGATGAGCGCCAGGCTGCCGAGGCGGCCGAGAAGCTGTCCTCCCAGGGCAAGGTCTCCGAGGACGAGTCACTTCGCGAGCCAGTCTGAGCGCGCTGCCGCGTGAAGCTCTGCGCATTTTCCTCTGTGCGTTGCAGTGTACGGCAGGGCAAAAGTAGCGTCCAGCTCATATTTAGCATCTATCGCAGGCCAACGCGTAGTGCGCGCGACTTGCTACAAGGCGTGTGCTCGAATGACAAGCCGCCCAACATTCACACGTGCCGCACCACCACCGCACAGCACGCGGATCGCGGCGGAGAGCCCGAAGCGCCTCGAGTCCGGCATGTTGCCAGCTGCGCCACGTGCTGGTTATTGACGGCGTTTGTGCCTTTCTCTCAATTGTCTGCTGCTCCCTCGTGGAGCGGCAGGGTGACGAAGATGAGGAGCTTACTTTTGCACCCGCTGCGACCGCCAATACCTCCACTTCTCCCTCACCCTCCTCGCTCGCGGGGATTGGGGGACATGATGATGCTGCTGCTGATGATGATGCTGATTATGATGATGATGACGATGCTGATGCTGATGATGATGATGATGATGATGATGATGATGATGATGATGATACTGATGCTGATGCTGATGCTGATGCTGTTGATGATGATGCTGTTGTTGATGGTGATGATGATGCTGTTGATGTTGATGATGCTGATGCTGATGATGCCGATGCTGATGCTGATGCTGCTGCTGCTGGTGATGATGTTGTTGATTCTGCTGATGTTGATGCTGATGTTGTTGCGGATGCTGATGCTGCTGTTGATGATGTTGATGGTGGTGATGCTGATGATGGTGGTGGTGGTGATGCTGATCATGATGAGGCTGCTGATGGTGGTGATGCTGATGATGGTGATGGTAGTGATGATGCTGCAGCTGATGATGACGATGCTGCTGCTGTTGATGATGCTGATGACGATGATGATGATGATGATGATGATGATGATGATGATGATGATGATGATGATGATGATGATGATGATGATGCTGATGCTGATTATGATGATGATGCTGAGGAGGAGGAGGCGGAGGAGGAGGAGGAGGAGGAGGATGAGGCGGTTTTAAGCTCGCAGATGCTACTAGCCCTCACTCACGATGCCCATTCCGAGCTGGTCACTCGTGAACTTGATGATGCCGCATCCCACGGCGAATTACCAATTTGGACTCCACACCTGACGTGCTCTAAGATGGTCCCGTGTGGCCGTCGAGGGGCTTCTTGGGCCGTCTTGGAGGCCTTGTGGGCTGGCCCAGGGCGCCCACATCCGTGAACAACACTGTATGCCTGCATTGTTTAAATCTTCTCGGATTTTCGGTCGTGGGAGCGTCCGGGACTGCCCAAGACTGCCCAAAGATCTCCCCAAGACGGCCTCCGAGGCCCCCCAAGAGGGCCCGAGAGTTTCCCCAACAATCGCCCGAAGAGGTGCCCAAGAGGGTGAGCCCGAACTGGCATTTCGAGCCGTTCCCCCTAATATGTATGCCCCAGACGCCCAACGAGGCCCCAAAGATGCCCCCTAAAGGCTTCCAAGAGGCCCCCAAGAGGCCTCCCAAGAGACCCCAGGACGCCTCCAAGAGGCCTCGTGCCCGCGACCCAGGCACGGTGGCACGATGGGCCGAAGTAAGCAAGCAAGCATTGGATGCATCAACTGGCCAAACGAGTGGTTCCACTGCATGATGGATGCTAGAAGTGGGTAGCCGGGGGAACGACGCGTCACCCGAATTCGAGAACGGCAGTGCGTTCCCCCCCGTTGTGAAAAACAAGGCACTCTCCTCCCCCCCGTTCCCCTCCGCCTCCGCCTTCCAGCGGGTTTGTGCCCACAGCTGTCACGGCCAGCCACCGCCCCAGCTCTGGCACCCGCGAGAGCCGCCATGGCGGCCATGTTCGAGCGCCTCGGTGAGTCGCCGCGGCCGTCGGAGGACCTTTCTCCCACGCGCTGCCGCGGGGTTGCTGCTGCTGCCAGGATATGGAGGAGAGGAGTCGCAAGATGATGCTGCTGTTGTTGCTGCTGATGATGGCCACGGTGGTGGTGAAGAGGAGGAGGATGAGGAGGAGGAGGATGACCAGTGGAAGCTCACGACGCATCAACCATGTTGCAATACACCCTCCCTCCAAGTTCCCTCTTTTTAGGTCCCTGCCATAAGCTATTCTCACTGCGGGAAGTGCCCCGTTGCAGGACAACCCTCTGAGAATTTTCAACCATGCCTGAACATCCTTCGTGGGGCTCCACACGCCGCGAATCAACGCAACTGCTGCGCCGTGACGATCCTAAACTGTTTCAGATTTCCATTCCCAGAACTTCAGCACCGCGAATTACCGTGACCGTTGCGTCTTGACAAACCCGGATCGGGCCAAAACGCCGCTCTTGGGACTTCAACCATGCAAACCCTCGAAACCGCTGCACATGTCTGAGACGAGTACCCGCGGCGCTACGGCGAAAGCCACAATTTGAAAACCAGCAGCCTTCCATCCTTGAAGCTGCTGCAAACGCTTAAGACGAAAATGCGTGGCGCCAAGGCGAGAGTCACATTTGACAACCACCCGCCCTTCATATTTGGAACTGTTGCAAACTTTTGAGACGAATATGCGCGGCGCTGAGGCGAGAGCCACATTTTGAAGCCTACCTACCCTCCATCCATGAAGCGGTTGCACATTTTCCAGTTTCCGGTGCATACATGGCGAGGGAGTCTCAAGCGAAACGCTCGGCCCGCCATATCGACACCCCTGGGGGTGCGACAGGGGGGATTGGTTTTAAAAGGAAAACGGATAGAGGATAAGCGAGACGTTCGGAGTTTCATGGGGTCCTGAGTGGACGAATTATTGAAGACGCCTACGTCGAACCACCGCTGCTCCCTGCCTTTTGCAAACGCCCATGCGGCCAAACGCTGGGGGCGTAAGTCTTGCCAAGCTATGGAGCTATGTGTTCCCCCATCCGTTGTGGAAATCCTCGGAGGAACACTTGGGAGAGGACGAGACAGACGTAAACTTGGGAGAAGAAGGGCGAGGAGGACGAGGAGGAGGAGGAGGAGGAGGAGGAGGAGGAGAAGGAGGATGAGGAGGAGGAGGAGGAGGAGGCGGGGGAGGAAGAGAAACAACAGGAGGCCTCTTGAGGCCGTCGGGGCTGTCCGGGGGCTTCTGGGAGCCTCTTGGGGGCCTCTGAGGGGCCTCTTGAGGGCCTCCTGGGGCCTCTTTGAAGCCTCTTGGGGGCCTCTGGGGGCCTCTTGGAGGCCTCTTGGGAGCTCCTGCGGGACCTCTTGGCCTTCGGAGGCCGTCTTGAAGGCCTCTCTGGGTAGTCGTGGGTCGCTTTTTAGTTGCTTTGTGACCGTCTTGGAGGTTTGTGGGGCCGTCTTGGGGCAGTCTTACAGTGGGGCTCTCTTGGGCCGTCTTGCGGGCTTCTTGGTCCCCGCTGTCTTGGGGCGATCTTGGGGGCCCATGGGGCCGTCTTGGAGCGTCGGAAGCCCGAAATCGCTAGAACGACAAACTCAGTGAAACATCGAAGGGAAGTCAATGATTTTGGCCTCTTGGACGTCCTCACAGAGCCCTCTAGGGGCGTCTTGGGGGCCTCTTGGGCCGTCTGGGAAGCATCTTGGGCCGTCTTGCGTCCATCTTCGCCGTCTTGGGACTGTGCTCGAGGCCATTTTGGGCCACATTGGTCGTCTTGGAGGCGTCTTGGGACCGTCTTGGAGGAAACCTTGACCGTCTTGGGCGCAGATTTTCCAGGCATTGAAGTCCGCCCGGGTCTTTCCGGATGGCCAGCGGGTCAATACGAAGGCCCCTGGGAACCCGCACAAAGGTTGTAAGCATCAATGTTCGTAGCGCGCCAAGCATCCTTGCAATAAACACAGGGGGCCTCAGATCGAAGACGCCAAAGGCGAATCACCGCTGCCCCCTGCATTTTGGAAGCGCCTATAGGGCCGAACGTTGCGGCCAGAACTCGGCCAAGCTATCGGACTGTGTATTTCCCTAGCCGTTGTGGAACCCCTTCGGGTAACACGTGGGGGAGAGAGAAGATGAGGAGAGGGGGGATAAAGGCCGAGGGGGAGGAGGAGGAGGAGGAGGAGGAGGAGGAGGAGGAGGAGGAGGAGGAGGAGGAGGAGGAGGAGGCCCCTTGGGAGCCTCTGATGGTACCCTTGGGGCCTCCTGTGAGCTTCCTAAGGGCGTCTTGGAGGCCTCTTGGGGACTTCCCTGGGCCTCTTGGGGGCCTTTGGATGCTCCTTGGGAGGCTCTGTGACTGTCTGAGGGCGTTTCTTGGGGCGCTTGAGGGCCGTCTTGAAACGCATATTGAGTTCTTGCGGATCTCCTGAGCCGTCTTGGGGCCCTCTGTTTTGGGCCTCTTGGGCGGTCCTGGGGCCATCTTGGAGGTCTCTTGGGCGCTCTGGGAGCGATCTTGTGGTCCTCCCGAGCTGTCTGAGGCCGTCGGAAGGCCGAACAGAAGCAAATGCTAAACTCCTTCGACAATCAACGAGAATCAATGCCATGGGCCCATTCGGGCCCACTGGGGCCGTCTTGGAGGCCTCTTGGGGGCCTCTTGGGCCGTCTTGGGCCATTTTGAGTCCATCTCGGGCCGTCTTGGAGACATGCTGCGGCCATCTTGGGCTCTTTTGTGGGTCATCTTGGCCGCCTTGGAGACCATCTTAGCCGTCTTGGAGGCCATCTTGGAGCCGTCTTTTTAAAGGGAGAAAGCCACGCTCCGGGAATTTTCGGCGGCGTTGTGGGTCCTTCCGGGTGGCTGGCGGAAACGGCCGAAGGCCCATTGGGAATTTAAGAAACGATCAGACGTCACCTAACATCTGGCACGCCGTGCACCCCTGTGGCAAGACCACAGAGGGCGGCGGATCGAAGACGCTTGCGGCGAATCACCGCCACCCCCTGCTTTTTGGGAAGCGCCTTTGTGGCCGAAAGTTGGGCTAGAACTATTGGATCGTGTGTTCCTCCAGCTGTCGTTGAACCCTGTCGGGGGAAATGTGAGGAAGAGGATCATGAGGAGAAGATGGAAAGAGGAGTAGGAGGATGAACAGGAAGATGAGGAGGAGGAGGAGGACGAGGAGGAGGAGGAGGAGAAGAAGAAGAAGAAGAAGGAGGATGAGGAGGAGGACGCCTCTTTGAAACCACTTGGGGCATTCTTTGGGTTTCCTGGGAGCTTCCTGGCAGCCTCCAGGAGGCCTGTTGGGGGCCTCCTTGGGCCTCTTGGGAGCCTCTGGGGGGCTTGTTTGGGGCCGCTCTGGCTGTCTTTGGGCGTTCCTGGCCCTTCTGACGCCGTCGGAAGCTGTCTTGGATGCCTCTCTGAACCGACTTGGGGCTCTCTTGTGGCGCTTCAGGGCCGTCTCGGAGGCCATCTTGGGCGTCTTGGAGGCCTCTTGGGCCGTCTTGGGGCCCTCTGGGGGCCGTCTTGGAGGCCTCTTGGGCCGTTATGGGGCCATTTTGGAGGCCTCTGGGGCCACCTTGGGGCGATCTTGGGGGCCTCTTGGGCCGTCTAGGGCCGTCGGAAGGCCGGATAGAAGCTAATGCCCAAATCCTTCAAGAACCGTACGGAATCAATGATTTCGGCCTTTGCGGGCCCTCCTGGTGGATATCTTGGACGCCTCGTGGGCCGTATTTGAGGCTTATTGGGGGCCTCTGGGCCATCTTGGAGTCTTCTTGGGCTGACTTGGAGGCATCTCGGACACTCTTGGGTCGTCTAGGAGGCCATCTTGGACCATCTTGGGCGAGCTTGCGGGCCATCTTCTCCGTCTTGGAGGCCATCTTGGGCCACCTTGAGAATCTTGGAGCCATCTGGAACAGTAAGGACCTTTGCAACCGGGTCTTCCGGGTGGCCGGCGGGCTGGGCCGAAGCCCCAGGGGGAGTTCCAAAAAGAACCGAAACCGTCTAAGAAGTCTACTACTCCAGGCGCCCCAGTGACAAATCAACAGGGGGCGACGGATCGAAGACGCATGCGGCGAATCATCGCCGCCCCCTGCTTCTGTTCAACCACATATGTGGCTGAACGTGGGAGCTAGGTTAGAGCTTGGCCTAGACATCGGACCGTGTGTTCCCCGAGTTGGTCAGAAGGGCATTCGGGGAACACGCGTGTATGAGGAGGATGATGATGATGATGAGGAGGAGGAGGAGAAGCAGGAGGAGTGGGAGGAGGAAGAGGAGGAGGATCACGAGGAAGAGGGGGAGGAGTAGGAAGGGAAGGAGGAGGAGGATGGGGAGGGGAAAGGGGCCATCTTGGAGGTCATCCGAGAGCGCTCCCGAAGGCAATGTTGAGGGGATGTCCCGAGCGAAACGCCAACTCAACTCTAAAAGACTTGAAGGTTTCACTATTTTCGCTTCTTGGGCCATCTTAGAGGTCATCCGAGAGCCCTTCGACATGATAGTCGATCCATTATGTTTCTGCATTTTGTTTTTTTGATGATGTCTGCAGCGAAATGACCATACTGGAAGATCCGAAGATGAGGCCATCGATTTCACCATCCCCATTGTTCGAGGATGTCTCGTGCGAAATGTTCATCTTTATCCCAAGACATCTTGGGCTAGGATCCCCTAATACCGCGATGTTTTAAGGATGCTCCTAGCGAAACGGCAGTTTTTGAGGCAGAAGTTTGTGGGATTGAGGTGGTTTGTGGTGGCCTTCCGCGTGGTCAGTTCGCAGCTTTTCGAGGACGCCGCAGGCGAAAAGCTTAGTTTCCATCATCATGCATCTTGGGCTGTGATCCCCAAGATCGCGATGTGCTGAGGATGGCGCAAGGCGCGGTGGCGGGACGGGCCGACGCCCCAGGAGGAGTTCTTGCGGAGACATAGCCAAAACCAAAGCAGTAGGGTTCAGCACGCCAGGCACCCATTTGATAAATTAACAGGGAGCGGCGGATCGAAGACGCCTACGGCGAATCACCGCCGCCCCCTGCCTTTTGGAATCGCCCACGTGGCCGAGCGTTG